AATAATGTACCACTAAAAAGCGATAACATTTTATCATTTAAAATAAGTACTCTATTTGTTGTCGTTTGATGATGAAAATAAAAATAGTATAACAGTAAAGATACATACAGCTTTGTTTGGATTCATTAATTTAGAGTGTTGTTTTAATTTTTGTTCCAGATTACCAATATTTCTTCTTCTTATAACATATAATGCAATGTTATTTCTGATTAGTTATTTAAAAGGCCTCAAGAAAAGTTTCTTTGATAGAATTTTAAAAAATACGTATTAAATACTTAAACTTTAATTTCTGTTGATTAAAGATGTAATCATTTCATTATTTTGTACTTTTTGTACATCAGGATTGGTCGTTTTTTACAAAAATTTGCTGAATTTCAGGAAAAAGATACTAAATTTTTGTTCGAGTTGCTTAAAAATGCAAATATTTTTTTTTTTATATCAGAAATAATGCACGTCTATTGCAATCCGTCATAATGCATTCAGATAATTACTTTTGTACAAGATATGAATAATTTAAGGATAAATATACATACACTTTTGTTTTTATTAAATAAAAATTCAATAATTTCTCTTTTTTAATGGAAATTATTGGAACGCCTATTGTTTTTTGTACTTTTTATTGTTCAGGATTGGTTTTTTTTTATAAAATCAAAGTAATATCTGAGAAATATACTAAAATGTTGGTCGCATTGTTTAAAATTACAAATTTTTCTTCTTTTGATAAAAAATAATGAAATGTTATTTGTAACTAGTTATTTCAAAGTTCTCCAATAAGATTTTTTTGGTAAGAATTTTGATAATGTAAGGAGAATTTTACTTAAACTTTTGTTTTGTGTTGAATACAAATTAAATAATTTCTTTATTTTGATAGAAATAATGAACCGTCATTTGATTTCGGTACATTTTGTACATCAGGATTGGTTGTTCTTCATAAAATATGCTGAATTTCTGGGAAAAGATGCTAAATTTTTGATTACGTTGCTTAAATATGCAAATATTTCTTCTTTTATATCAGAAATAATGCAACTTCAAATGCAATCAGTCATAATTAATGCATTCAGATTATTACTTTGGTATAAGATGATATGAATAGATTGTGGATAAATATACATACGCTTTTGTTTTTATTAAATTAGAATTCAATCATATCTCTTTTTTAATGGAAATTATTAGAACGCCTATGGTTTTTTGTACTTTTTATGGTTCAGGATTGGTTGTTTTTTTAAAAAATCAAAATAATATCTGAGATAATATACTAAATTGTTGTTTGCATTGTTTAAAATTACCTTTTTTCTTCTTTTGATAAAAAATAATGCAATGTTATTTGTAACTAGTTATTTCAAAGTTCTCCAATAAGATTTTTTTGTTAGAATTTTGATAATGTAAGGAGAATAATACTTAAACTTTTGTTTTGTATTGAATACAAATGAAATATTTTCTTTATTTTGATAGGAATTATGAACCGTCATTGGATTTTGGTTCTTTTTGTACATCAGGATTGGTTGTTTTTCATAAAATATGCTGAACTTCTGGGACAAGATACTAAATTTTTGTTCGCATTGCTTAAATATGCAAATATTTCTTCTTTTATAACAGAAATAATGCAACTTCACTTGCAATCAGTCAGAGTTAATGCATTCAGATTATTACTTTGGTATAAGATATGAATTATTTAAGGATAAATATACATACGCTTTTAATTTATTAAATAAGAATTCAATAATTTCTCTTTTTTAAAGGAAATTATTGAACACCTTTGGCTTTTTGTACTTTTTATGGTCCAGGATTTGTTGTATTTCATACAATATGTTGAATAAAGGGAAAAGATTATAAATGTAATGTTCGCATTGCTTAAAAATACAAATATTTCTTCTTTTATATCAGAAATAATGCAACGTCAATTGCTATCAGTCATTATAAATGCCTTTATATAAGTATTTTTAAATAAAATGTGAATAAATGAAGGATAAATATGCATAAACTTTTGTATTTGTTGAACAAGAATGCAACAATTTCTTTTTTTGAACGGAAATTATTGACTGCCATTAGATGTTTGTACTTTACATAGCTCAGGATTGATTATTTTTTCATAAAAGTAAAAGAAGATCATAAAAAATATCCTTTAATGTTGTTCGCATTGTTTAAAATTACCAATTTCTCTTGTTTTGTTAAAAAATAATGCAATCTTATTTGTAACTAGTTATTTCAAAGGCTTCAAGATTATTTTTTATCAGAATTTTAATACTGTAAGTAGAATAAGGCTTAAACTTTTGTTGGTGTTGAAAATGAATGCAATAATATCTTCATTTTGATAGAAATAATGAATCACCATTGATTTCAGTACTTTTAGTACATCAGGATTGGTTGCATTTCATAAAATATGTTGAATTTAAGGAGTCAGATACTAAATTTAATATTCGCATTGCATAAAAATACAAATATTTCTTCTTTTATATCAGAAATAGTGCAATGCAATTGCTATCAGTCATTATAAATGCCTTTAGATAAGTAATTTTTAATAAAATGTGAATAAAGAAGGATAAATATGCATAAACTTTTGTTTTTGTTGAAATAGAATGCAATAATTCCTTTATTTGAATGGAAATTATTGACCGTCATTGGATTTTTGTACTTTTTATAGCTTAGGATTGATTATTTTTTATCAAGTTAAAAGACTATCAGAAAAAATATACTATAATGTTGTTCTCGTTGTTTAAAATTACCAATATTTTTTTATTTTTAGGAGAATTTGCAGCATTTTTATTTGTCATTTGTTATTTTAATGGCTTCGAGATAAGTTTGTTTAAAGAATTTTAAGATTATAAGGATAAAATCCTTTAAAATATTTAAGAATAATACATCGACATTTGCAATAAAAGATCATTTCATTTTATTTTCAAGAGCATTTGCGGAAAATAATAAAATCACTGAAAATCGCGATAAACACCGTTTTAGAGATGTCCGGGTTTGAAAAAAATTAAAACGAAAATGACCATTCTTTAATAGTAATATATAAATTAAGTTTTATATGCATATTTCTTTTCTTTTTATATTCTTAAAACTGTGCTAAATAATTAAAAATGAAAAAAAATGTTGATCATTTGTACTTGAATGTTTCGTATTTTCCATCTCGCCATTTTAATTAAATGAAACGAAACTAAGATTTCGTAATTTGTATTAGTTTATCATGTGACGTAGTAGAGTTCAATCCGTCAGAAAGGTCGATCGGTCCTATCCGTCCGATCCGTCCGATCAGTCAAATACTTTTACTATAAGTCTGACGGATTGGTGACGTGAGTTTGACGCGAACTTGACTGATCGGTGACTGATCGATGACCGCTGATTGATCGCTAAAACAGTAACGCCTAAGGTTGCAAGTACTGTATCACGATCTTGAAATATGGGAAATCACTATAAATTTGTGAATAGAAAACCATGCTAAAGGTTGTTTTAAACAAATTAAAGGGGATTGGGGGACCCAACTTCATAACATACGAGTTATTAGTAACTCCATGAATTATCAGTGTTAAAATTTCACCTTAACGTTTTGTTTTTTTTATTAAAGGAAAAGAATTAATGGTTCCATATTTATGTACCAGATCTAGAGCCAGTAAGTATTCGAGAACGGAGACCTTTAAGTTAGACTGAATTGTTGATGTATAAGGCGATACGTTAGGCAATATGAAACAGATGGTGTTTAAAATATGCATAATACAAGAAAATCTGACACAAATAATCATGAAGCAAACACGTTTGTACCGGTATCAATTATGTTTGTTTTAATAAATTCATTCAGATGATGCAATGCTTTTAAACAAACATAAGACTCTAGTTCACAATAGACATGCGATTTCAGATTATATTATTAAATTGTGTTGTTAGTATCCGATTGTAACCTTAAAACAGTGCATTCAAGTGCAGAATAGATTAAGAATGGATACCTATTTATTTAAAAGCATTAGATTTTCATGTCTTTGGAAATTCAATGAAAAAAAACAAAATTTAAGTCGTTACTGAGGATGATCAGCAACAACAAAAAAATGTTAAAACACACATCTGAAGTATCAGAGTTTAAGCCTAGTATCTTTAATTAGTTGTTCCAACTAAAGTGATGTTACAATATTTATCTTATGGATGGCCCGGTAAACGTTGTGTTTTATGTCTAAAGAAAGTGTATGCCTATTCTTTTAAAAGGCTCTGCTGAGCAAAATTTATGGTGTATATATGGCTAAGAATTGATTGACTCTGCTAGTAAAATCAGAATCTTCTTTTTTGAAGACTCAATTCTACTAAACTATAATCTTTGTAAGGAAATTGAAAAAAAATGTTTTATTTTGACTTCTTTAGGGTACTGCTATGTTTCGTTCTTCATTTGAATAGCCGGTGTAATTTGGATTTCTGTGTAGTAATTATTTGTTGTTCTATTTTTGGACTGTGTTTATAGCTGTATTCTTTTTCATATTTGTATTCAAATATAAAGAAGATCTACATCGTATTTCGAATAAAACCACCTATTCATAGTCCCATTGCTTCTTATAGTATGCCTTTTTCAAGCATTTATAGCTATTTTTTCTGAAGTTCAAATAAAGTTGGAGTTATTTCATTGAAAAACTATTCCTTATCCTGATATGTGCTGAATATTCAACATACCTTCCATTAAAAATATTGTGTAAAACTGTTGCCGCGCATTTATATGTAAACCGTAAAATAAGTAAAATACGAAAATATCAAGATATTTATGACGTCATGGTGACATCACAAATTACTGTTGTTCACTAAAGTAACAAGATTATATCAACCTGTTCATGTATCAATAATATTCAGATTTTTCAAAGTTTGAGAGGATTTGCAAATATTTACATACCATTAACTAAACATTCGTGTTTTGCCAACTGCAAATCAATCGACCACAACAATAACGATGGATTGATACATACAAAAAGTAATTAAGAGAAAACACAAATAAAGCTTTATTTATCTATCATTCATATCAATATTGATATCTTTCTTGTTTCAGTACTAATACAGATAGCCTTTGTTTCCCTAATATGAACTAATATCCTCCCCATGGACCGTTATTCCAGCCCTTATTCCAACCATAACGTCCGTGATATCCATTGTATCCATTATAGCCATAGTAACCATTGTTGTATGGCCATGGTGTATTATATCCTGGATCATAACCCTGAAATGAAAAAAAACCATTAAATTTTGAATTAATTATGATGTAGACATATAAAACAATTCAAAACCGATGCGTAACATCAGTTCATAAGATGAAGATATATTAACTATGTAGTCGATGATTTAAGTCCAATCGAAAATAAGGAGACAAAATCATGGCAAAAAAAAACGTAAAAAGAAATAAAGAAAAACAACACTATACAAAACGCAACAGGGAATGAAGACTGACCAACACGAACCCCAACAAAAACCGTTGGGATCTCAAGTCCTCCTAAAGGGTAAGCAGACCCTGTTCCACATTTTGCATCCAACATGTTACTCATGAACGTACATACCCGGTGATAAATCGTTTTCAGTAGGTCACATTCGAGGAAAAGAGGACGGGATTATGGGTATGACAATTTGTACATATCTGTTGTCATCTGTGAACTAGATATTCCATAACAGTCAACCAACTGGTGATGGCGTCCGTTAAAATTTAGAAGGAAGGGTTTCAAGTTCACTACTTGGAACTCTTTGTTAAATACCTCCAAGGAAATCATGATACGAAATGCAAGGTCTGGAATATCGTATCAACTAGGAGAATCATATCCATATACAGGCGCTAATTAAATGTTGCAACGAGAAATGGAAAGTTCACAATTAATATAAAAATCTGAAATCATCTCTTTTGTTGTTAAGTCTTTTTTTCAAACAATCCTCATTGTCAATTTTTATATGTAAGTCAAAATATGAGGCCGACTTAATAATATTTACCAATTTTGCTGCACTAGAAGGGCATTTCGACAATAAATGTCTTTTCAGTGATGCTCGAATCCAAAATGTTTGAAAATCAAAAAAAATTATTAAAAAAAATTAAGAGCTTACAAACTACAAAGGTCAACAAGTATAACCTTAACTGTATTTGTTGTATTCTTTATTTCAAGTCATTGGGATACATGTGTTCAACAAAGTCATCAAATTTTTAATTATTCAGTGTGAGGACATCATCTTTATAGCGAAAGTGAAGTTAAAGGATAATGCTATCTTCTTTTCATTCTTCCTAAGAACCTCTTGAATGCAGTCAGCTTCATATTAATAAAAGAGGAACATGTCAGCAAAAAGAGGCGTACAGTTGGTTCCACCAGAATATATATACATTAAAGGCGATGCGGCTTATACGTCAATCAATGGCAACACCAACCAATGCGACATATAGTATTCAAAATACCTTTAACAGTTGACAAATTTGTATATACAATCTGTACCTAATCAAATCGCAGCTAAGCAGTAATGAAAACTATCAAACAGGGACGTAAAAATGTATTATAACATTAGATTCAAAGAAGGACATTACGATATACCTATTAATCGATGACGAGGATTCTGATCATGAATTTAAAAAAAAACATTTGAACATAAAACAAGGTTCAACATTTTTTAAGCACACAACAAAAAGGCCATTTATGAAAATTTGAAAAGGTTTGTTTCCAAATTGAGACATCTATCCAACATGACAGAAAGACAAGGATGTGAATGACCTATAGTCACCGTACGGCATGCAACTCTAGTTTAGTCTTCTTTTTTTTTGTATATTTGAAAATATTTGAACATGAGTTATATACCCAATAATAGATAAGACTTTTATAGTTAATTGATATATTATTAATAAGTTAATATGTTTATAACGTGAAGTTACCACTAACAACGTTTATTTTGAACAAATTATATCAACGTTACCTCCTTTGTTGCGAAGAGTAAATGTAACGTGATTTTACCACTAACAACGTTTATTTTGTAAGATTGTACATATGTTTACCATGAATATCTTCCGTGAGGAGTGAAACCGGTAGTAACAATGTGAACAATGTAGACTATAGTTTTTTCAATATTACACACTGAGGGCTTATTGGTTGAAGGTTGATACGTAGAGTGATATGGAAAAAACCATCTCATTTGAAAAAATGTTTGCCGTTTATCTATGTCCCTAAATTAGATGTTTATCACGTATCAATAAGACTTTGTAACCGTGACTGAATCGTCAGGGATGTTTGACGCCGAACGATTTTCATTCATTGTATTATAAATAACGTTGACTTGTATTAACTGTTAAGTTTATGATAAAACCAAATATCTTGATGCCATACCATAAAAAACTTCAAGTATTTTTAAACTTACATAACCTGCGTCTGAAAAAAAAAACGTTATCAATTATAATTAATCTTAATTTAGTCTTGAAAATAATATACTTGTAATCATTGTCTGAAACTTTTATCTTTAAATAAAAAAAATATTTTTTATTATTTATGTGCCAGTAAATGATAATTTGTATAATTTATATATAAGAGTTATGGAAAACTATAAGAAGACAAACAATAGCAGAGCTATAATACATAACAAATTTTTTAACAACATCAAAATAATGACAAATAGTAAGGAAAAAATACTCACTTAAAGAAAACAAATTATAACTTTCTTCCTGTTTTCCCATCCCTTTGATGTTGTTGTAATTGCCAATTTTGGTAGGACATAAAGACTTAATTTAATTGTTTCAAGAGTTTGTTTGCTATTTTGAAAATGACGAAACCTATTCACAACGAAATTGATAGCTAGTATTTTTGCATGTAGCTAATGTCTCTATTTAAAAAATCCGACATAACATATATATCAAGAGTTACGTACATACATATTGTTTGACAATTAATGAAAATATTAAAACAATTAAATATAATGAACCGCTTTAATAAGTCAAACCTTTACTTACCACTCTGAACTGCAAATAATCCAATAAGGACTAAAGCCAGCAAAACTGTGACACTGAATTTATTCATTGCTACTAAATCAAGTTTTCTGCAGGGATAATCTGATTGCTGAGAAATACTCTTTATATACATTTCGCAATCAAACCACTGCAAATCAAGAGGAAAAAACAATCGAACACATGTTTCTATTACAATAAGATTAAAATAAAAATAAAAATTTCAGTGTATTACATAATCCGTATTCCTTGTCATATTAGATGCAAGAAGAAAATAAAAAAATTAAAAATACCAAAAGAATTAATAATATGTTAACTCTATGATTCATTAAAGGAAAATCATTAAACTACTGTTGTAATAAAAAGTAAAATAAAAAAAAAAAAATGAACTCCAAGGGAAATTCAAAGTGGAAAGTTCTTTAATAAAGTCAAAAGCTCAACCACATCAAACGAATGGAAAAGAAAACAACTGTCATATTCCGGATTTGGTACAGGCATTTTCTGATGTAGAAAATAGTGGATTAAACCTGGCTTTATAGCTAGCTAAACATCTCACTTGTATGACAGTCGCATAGAATGTCATTATATTGACAACAATGTGTGAGCAAAACATACAGACATAATAGGTAAAAATGTCAAAAAATGAAGTACAGCAGTCAACATTGTTATATAATCTTAATCACTATAAAAAACAAATAACTATTTCAACAAACAAAGGCAATGTTACTATAAAGCATTACTTTGCTACCTCACCCATTCAGTTATTCAAAATAGAAAAAAGTTAATTTAAAAATCAGCATATTCTAAATAGATTTTAACATATTTTGGGAAGTGGATTAACCGTATTTGTTGAACCCGTGTCTTTTTTTAAATAATTATTTATACGTTTTTATTGATATTGCTCATACATAAACTGATTAGAATATGTCCATGACTCTAAAGTGACGTTCGGGTACAAATTCTGCCCAAACATTATTGTTTTGTTTTATTTGTTCTTTTTTCTAAACTTTTAGCAATTTCAGAAAAGAACTAATACAAAGCTACTGTTTCCAGCATAGTTTGTACAAAATAAGTTCCTATCGTACCTTCTGTTTAAAATACGCTGTTCTGTTTTCTGCTTTTTTGTAATGGACCTCTAACGTTGACGTCTAACCTTTATACAGAACAAACATCAGTTTGTACTTTTGATCAAATAATGTTTAATGGCTCTACAACATATCAGGCTCTAAAAAAAGTGGGGAAAATGATTAAAATTAAGCAGAGAGAATGAGCGAGAGAATTCTTCTTGAAGTAAACGTTTATAACGATAAGCGTAGAGTTTAGTGTGCAAGTAACGACTGCATTGCGAAAACATTGACGTGCCTTTGATGAAGCAAACTTAGAAAAATTGTTTGCAATTTCGATCGCTAAACAATCGCTATATCTTTACAAAACAGGAATCGTAGAAAAGGAGTTCTATTTTGTGTTTGGAAGTAACCGTTTGGTAGCAGATGCAATAGAAATAGCAAAGAAAGGAAAAGTCGCAAAAGTATATATTGATTAACAATTTCTGTAGATTATTTATACAATCTATTATACATAAGATAAGACCCTGACTTTTCTTGTCGAGGATCATTATTCTAAACTAAAAAAGAGGCAAAAGAAACCATAGGGATATACAAAACTCATAAGTCGAAAACAAAGGAGAGGTGAAAGATACCAAAGGGACATTCAAACAGTCAAAATTAAAACTGACAACGACATGGCTAAAAAAGAAAAAGACCAACAGACAAACAGACAAACAACAGTACATAACACACACAACATAGAAACTAAAGACTGAGCAACACGAACCCCACTAAAAACTAGGAGTGATCTCAAATGCTCCGGAAGGATAAGCAGATCCTGCTTCACATCTGGCTGCCAAACAATGTCATGGCTAGAAAACAAAAAACGACGAAAAGACAAACAACATACACAAAACACATCTGAGTATGCTACATTTGAAGAATTTAGCTTCGTTCTGATATGTTTATTTTACGTATCCATTCTTTTTCATTAGATGAAGAAAACAAAATTTAATTAAATTTTCTTGAGAATTTATTAAGTATCATCGGTTATCTTCAAAAAGGATGCCATACTCACATAAGATATGGTATAGTTCTTACCAATGACATTTTAAAATT